CTTCTGTTTACTAGCGCGACTACCTCTTCCGGAGGAGCATCTCTATCATGTGCCATGTAGGCAGAAGCCACAATAAAATTTTGTCCACCTGGCATTTCGATCCTTACGACTGTTAGATCTTTATCGCTATACTGTGGACATAAAAAGACATTAATACATTTTTTAACTAGGATACATGATCTTGGCTTACCATTGTTCCTAATATATAAATTGTTATAATTTTTCAGCATTAGCCCCATGATGTCCTTACCTCTGACCCATGGCTCTTGCACAATGCTGACATCGACATCCTCCTCTATGAGAAAGATGGCGAGATTGTCCGAGGCGATTTTCGAATGCTGAAGGTTAATTTGTGCTACTTTCAGCATTCGTGCAGGCTTACAAGGTTTTTGAAGCTTCTTCCTGAAGCTTCATACCGTCAAGCAATTTGTTAGCATCCTCTAACTCCTTGCCATCATCATCATTGCCTGTTGGGCGGAATATTTTTATTTTGGTGTACCGTACGCCAAACCTTAGCTTACAGTCCATTTCTTCCAATGGCTTCACGGATTCCTCGTTTATCGCCAGAAGAAGCGTCATATTGTTTTTTTGTGTGCCCTCGTCCTTGATGACTACCCAGTCATTCATTGGCACATTTTGGTTCTGCCGTTGTAGCAGCTGGAGAACTTTCTCATGCTCCATCTTCATAATTGGCAGCCAAATGCGGGCCCTTGGTCTTCTTGGGATATCGTTGGCTGGGATAAGCTTTAGCCTTAAACCTTCCCATGCATCACTTACCTTAGCAATGCAGTTGCCAAGAAATACTTTAGATAGCTGGTCATCACATTTGAAGACCCTGCAACCACGAACCACTTCTGATGAATCAAAGCCTGGTGTGGGGGCGTCTAGATTTGTTAGAAGGTGTTCCATCACCATTTCAGCCAGCTTGGGCTCAATCTCGCCCCATTTCTCCAGCACCTTTTTTCCATTGCCGGTAATATCATCAATGAGCGCCACCTGTAGCTCATCCCTTGCTACTTCGTTATATGCCCTTTTCGCACTCGTTGACGGTTTACTAGTAGAACTCGTTCTCGCTACCTTGCTTTTTGAAGTATGGGCCGTCTCGTCCTGAGACCGATCCCTCTTCATTGCCTTTACGGGTTTTGATAGGGTGGCCTGGTATTCGTTATACTCATCGACCACCTTCTGATATCGTACTTTGTCTGTACGGTCAAACGTCTGTTCTTTACCTTCAGCTTCATTTTTAGCAATCTTGCCAAGAATGAACATGGCCTTCTGGTACCTTTGACGTCTGATCTTTGCCTCAGACTTTTTTGATTTCTCGGCAGGCGCACTATGGCTGGCGCGCTTGTCTGCCGATTTTACTGTTATGTGCGAAGTAGGCGCAGTGCGGCTGCTACTGCCTACTTTGGGTAGTATGGCGGTTTCGACTCGCTCGTTTTCTTGGCTTGATGCCAGGAGCTCGTCTTCGGAACTGGTACCTAGTTCCTTGTTAGTTTTTTGTTTATTTAATTTGTTTAAAGAATCCATAAGTGTTCCCACGAGTGTAGGGGAAAGGGAGGTCGTCCGAAGCATAGCCCCCTTTACTTCAGAAAGGCTGAATTGAAACCGGAGGTCGCCAGGTATCCGGAGTCCACCGTTCTAAGACACACTTACGCAGTGCCATTCATCCTTGGGCACGGTCGTTCATACACCCAGGATTGCGAGTTTTATCGAGTTTTCCTCTCTAGATCCGCCATAATATGTGGCTCTGCACCACGTATGGACGGTCTTGGTTCGTCATAAACCCTGGTCCCCAGACACCTAGTGAACCTACACACTTCCATTCATTCTAAAAACACAAAGAACATACATGCATACATAGAGACAAAAACACACATACATGCCTGTGACTATCGAATTTTAATCTGTGTCAATGAAAGATTACTGGTTTCTTTCCAAATTTGATGTTGAAATATCCTTAACAGAAAACATTTTAGCTTCCATTTTTAGACAGATCAGCAATGGTTACGATGCTACACTCTATAGTACCAAGTATATATTACATTCAATTTTTTTGTAGGAGTATATTACAGTAGGCCATCGGTATAACAAAAAATATTAAGACCTTTTGCTATTTGAAATGCAGTGAATATGTGTTTGTTAAATGGAAAGAACGCCTTTGGTATTTAATTTTTACATTATTTAATCATTTGTTGTTTAGATGATTGTCTATATCGGGTATTCGATAAACCAAGAAATTACCGTATTATGATTTGTAAAAAAAATTTTTCGTTCTTCAAAAGCATTTCCAATATCGCTGAATAATTATGTACTATTATGAACTATAGAATTTATTTTATTGATAAATCTTCACAAATGAAATTTCAAGTTCGGCAAAAACTAGCACCGAATTTTATATCAAAACTAGGCAATCATCAATCACTAAAATAATAATAATCCTAAAATATATCAAATATAATAAAACTTAACTCTTGAGCCCCAAGTGTTTATTTATTGATAATATTGTAATATATATTTTTTGATTCAGTGTCTAATATTCAGTAATTTAGTTTAGCAAATATTAATTTGTATTAGTAAAAATTTATTCAAATAATTTAAATTAATTGAAATAAATGAGACTATGAGTAATGAAATGAATATGAGAGTATTAGAAAAAATATTCATATAAGGAAATTGCTTATTTAGTAATATACATAAGAATATATTCCTTAAAGTTTTATTTGGAGTATAATATTTCAACAAAAACTCGCCAACAAAAGCAATTTTATACTGAGACTTGAGTTTTATTCCAGGTTAAATCAAGCGATTTCATTTTATTACCTAATGATACACAGTCTGCCAATGCTACGACCTGCAAATGCTACGTTCTATCAACGCCATGGCCTGTGGAATGGAATTAAAGAAATTTCATCGCAGTGAAATGCTTATTTGGCAACATTTTTCTTAGCATATGTGTAGCACTCCCATTACCTTGTCCTGATTTTTGAACCAACGTTAACCTGCTAAGTGACTGACAAACAGACAGTGATTTCAAATTTGATAAAATTAATCTACACTCAATTTATATTTTTTTACTGACGTACATATATTGCATTAATATGTCAAAGTTCTAAGTCCACTATAATATATGTGTCATCAAAAGTACATCCACGTCTCAAATCATGCATGGCACTTTTAATTGCTTAAGTAATTTATAATTATGTTTTTTACTTTGCCATTTAATAGAATTTTTTTTTGGTGATAATTATATATATGCTAATATGTTCATAACAAGTAAACATTCCTTTCTCTGTCTGCAAAAGTCATTAATTACCACCAAAATCTACCTTAAAAATTAATTACCTACTTTGACATCGCGTTGACAACAGCATTTCAAAAAATTTTAAGTACTTTCTGTCTAATTAAGCGGAAATCACTTCACTCGTGAATCACTTTACTCGTGAAAACGCGTAGGACTGATTGATATACAAATCTAAACGAATAAATTATTACTTAGAACCGCATTTGATTGACAAATACTTAAAAATCCGAAAAAAAAGCTTACCACAGCGAAGAGATATTTTTTAAAACATGTCAAAGAATGATTTAGTCGTTAGCCAAATTAATGACAAATTAAATTAAATTAAGGCATCAAAAAGAATTTTAAGGATATTATGTGTCATATATAGATCTTACTAATACATGTTATATGGAACAATAATTTCTTAAAAATTTAATACATACAATTTATGCCTTCAAAAATTAGTACCATCCACTTTTCATGTAGGAATTTAATACAGAAGTAAATAAATAAAAATTTAAGTTAAATGAAATAAAATTTAATAGAAATCTATTTGACCTTTACTGAACGTGTTTTTTTTTGCCATAAATCATCAACGCCTTTAATGTTTCGTTTTCCACTGCTACTGAAGCGCAACGTTTTGATGAATTGGAGAGATGTTTTGTCTGCGCATCCTTGACGCCATCATACTCAGCATCTATGATTGTCTGTCTTGTACACAAACTGTTTTCTTTATTTTCCATGTCAACAGCTAACAAAGTGATGGCGTTTAACATTTGATTTATCAGTGAATTGAATGCTGTTCCTGCCACTTTTTGGTTGTTATCTTTACTTTGTGTTTATCAAAGGATTTTGCTGATTTACACTTCATGGGTTAGTTTGTGGGAATGAAATTACATTGATCAGTAATACATACACTTATAAAGAAATATAGTAGGTGTAATTGATACGTAATCACAACATAATAACATAATAGTCCAACATAATATACATCAAAATGGCAACTATTTTTCATTAATTATTTTTACATATACCTTTTGTATATGTTCTAATAATTAACATCATAATTATCATCATCAAAGGTATCAAGAAAAAGCAAAGACGTAAACAGAAAGCGGGCCTTCTGAAGCTTTTAGGTATTTTTGAAGTAATATTTTATAATAAGAAGGTTTGTGGATTTCTTTGGATAATTAGAAATCAATTATTTAATTTGTTATATTATCAATTATTTAATTTCATCATAATGAATTCAAGAATCTGTTTTAACTATAGTACCAGACTGCCAAATATATTGACCAATAACCTTCTTATTATAAAATATTACTTTAAAAACACCGAAAAGCTCCTCTTGTGTGCAAAGAACACAAACTATCTTCATAGTCAACGGTCATTGACAAAAGGATGATACACAAGAGGAGCTTTTGGGTATTTTTGAAGTAATATTTTATAATAAGAAGGTCTTTGGATGTCTAATTCATAATTTTCTTAAGATTTTCTTTCAAAAGCACTAAAATAAATACCATCTAAACTTTAACAATTAAAAACCAAGTGTGTCAATATTTGTTTTAATATCAATATAAGTAAAATAGATTTACTATATGTAGAGGATCAGTCCGACATGCTGTTTTAGTATCCCTGAGAGAACCTACTTTATCTGTGCATGTTTCCGTGTGTTACGGAAGAAAAGTTACCAACATAAATTTGAAACAGCCTACACAGTTTTTATTCAGAAGTTTAGATTCATTTCATAGAAATAAGATGAAAGATGATAAGATTCCTCCCAGCACTTTACTTTATCTTTCAAAGGAAGATTTTCAGAAAAAATTGAAGACTTCTCATTTCTATAATCACGAATAAGGGTTTTAAAAATCAAAAATGATATAACTTTATCATAGTTTATTAAAGCTATTAATAATCTTCTATACTAGAAGAAGAAGATAGCATACTATTGCAAACTTCATATTTTAATAACTTTGTGGGACAGAAAATTGAGTACCAAAAAAAACAAATATTACTTTGCGAAAATGCTACAAAATCAAAGCTATTCTCAGATTGCATATCATTCAATAATATGGTTACTTCTACCATTAAGGATCTTTAGACTTATCATCTCCATGATAAGTATTTTTGCTTATTGAAGCTAATATAAATTCTATTCAACTCTAAATTAAATTAATTTAAAAGTTTCATTTCAATTATAATATGGAATTGATAAAGTTTCGTTCACTTGCTCTTTTACTAGAGTATTTCATTTCTAAGCTTCTCTATGTCTTGATTTAAAATTTACAATTTATTCGATTATTGCCTTAGTAATAGTAAGAAACTCTAGAGCAAGCAATCCAATTTCCCCTTTAATTTATTCCAAACTCAAATACTATAACTTGAAATAAATGCAAACTCACACTTTCAAGTAAATTAAACGTAAGCTCATACGTACGAGAAGTAGCTTAGCATATGGAAAATCTTGGAACAATAAAGGCATATCCTTTGGCGTTCCCACGTTATTGACATAAGCGTTCACATTATCATGCAAAATTTAAAACACATTCATGCGGAAAGGCATCAATAAAGGATTTTGTGCAGATTTGTTCTTCAAATTGCATTGTACACTCGTCGAAGAAAGGAGCACGAAATAGTTCCCAAGTTGAAACAATTCGGAATGAATTTGATGTGAAATCAAACGTGCTAATATATGTATGCTCGGAATTTATGGGTTGACATTTGTCCAAGAAATAAATTCCTTTCTCTGCCGAGTAATGGCAAAACTTTTTGGCAATCATTTGTCCTGAACAATAAAAATCTATGCCATATTTTATAAATTTCTATTCACGTTACTGTAATAAAAAAAGTTTTATTTGTTCGATTAGAAATTGAAAATAGAAAATTTTGAACGGATTTAATTTTAATAAGTTTTTGAATCAATTTTTTTTAAAGATTTAAGATAAAAAATGTAAAAAACGTAAATTAAGATTGACAACATTTTTGTATCGCATTGAAAGAAACGTCGTCGACTCCATAAAGTATATATATTCTTGAAGAGTTCCACGTGTCAAGTTTATTTAGCACTCGTCTGTCTGTTAAACTTTCTGTTTTAGTTCAAACTATTCGTTCAGTTATTTTATTTCTATTTTACGAAATTGCACCTTTATCATTTTTGAAATTAGATCAAATCGGAATATAATACATAATGGACTATATTATGTAGGTGCCACATAAGCTAAACAATTTTTTCCGTTTTAAATCAAGA